AAGTTAAAAAGGAATGGAAAGGGTGGGCATCTCTGACGGACACCACGCAATTGCAAACAAGCATTCTATAATCTACTGAATCGAACCGCCGCGGCACAGTAGTAATCCACCATAGTATTTTCGATAGTTAGTGGGAGGTTTGTAGTGGACACTCACGAGATCACACGTCACAGACACCTAAATCACGTAGCGATTCCTGTCCCATTTGCAACCTTAGTCGAAAACATGTACACCACAATTTCACATCCAATTTTGTTTGCACGGCTACTACCTGCGTCACGCACCAGGCTGACGAATATCAACCACATCAGGTGAAGTTGCATTCATGTCCGTGCAATCCTCACACTGCACACAATAAACAGGCATGCAACTCGGCCCAAACACACACACACACACAGGACATAAAGCCAACCGATCTCCACAAGTCTCCACGGACAACTACGGACCACGTGTAGCAGCTGTACTGCAGAGAAGACACGTGCCTCGTGTCTGGAACTTCACTCAGGAACTCAAATGATGAGTCATTTTTGGGCTTATTCCCTTCTTGCATTCTACTTATTTTCATCAAGTGCACATAACTCTCACAATCAGCATCACTCTGGTAAAACCGACATTTGTCAGTGTTTGTCATCTTCGGATAACCAACCTAATTTTGTTGCAGCCTGGTTACTAACAGGCTATCCAGACACACCAGCAAAACTAGCAGGACCGTAGTGGAAAGAAAAAGCTGTTGGGAGCTTCTTCTTAGATCTTGTTTTGAAAGATACCTGACTGCGAAATAATGGGTTTTAAGTGCTGTGGAGCACTTCGGGGATCTGATAACACTTGTTATGGTCGTAGTACCCACCTTGTATAAAAGTGTAAAAGTATAGGTGTATAAAATAAACGAACCAGCAAACTGGAGTATTCTGCCTAAGCCTCAATAAAAGCACAGTACCAAGATACGAACCAATGCCTAGAAATAAAAGTGTATTAACATGCACTGTACTGCACACTGTAGAACTTCCAGCCATCACAAATCACTAAATGCAACCCAGCAAATATGCGAGAATCGATCCAGGATCAAGAAACTTAGACAAGTTGTCGACCAGTAATGCAAGGTAATGTGATAGTCTAACGCGTGGGGGCTTCTTGTGGCGCTCGGAGATTAGAGGAAGAATGGTCGTAAAGATTTGGAAAAACTTTCGCAGATAAAGTATATCTACTCAAATCCAAATTAGGAAGCACGGGTATCGCCGCTTCATTATCCCCAAGAAACATCAAAACATATCTGGAAATTGCGATCTGTGACAGCCTTGTGCACCCCACCTTGCAACAGTATCAACTACAACAAATATGTCCAGGTTTCACGCGTCCTTGTAGGGAATCGCCTGGGATGTTTCGATCGACACCTCAAACCGAAAGCTGCCATTTTTATTTGGTGGTTGGGTTTGAGAGCTGCAACGGCCGTGTGGGTTGCATTAGTTAGAGCTTCGTTACAAGCGATGTAGCCGTGCAAGGGAGGTCAAAGGTGAGCATCGAACCCGCGCACCACGATGAATAGTTATGAGGCAGTCTGGAGACCAGACTGTCCACATTTATGGGAGGACGTTAGAAAAAGTCGACCCTAAAAACCGCAAACTACGATCGCCCAAGGCCAACCATGGCCGCCGGCGGACCATGCAATAGGGTCGAAACGAATCTAAAGCCAACCAATTGCTGGATGAGGTTCCAAACGCATCTGCTTTGCGCGATAGGATCAGGATGTATATAACTGTACCTTGCACCCTCGGGATAGGTCGGTTCTCCGTAGTCAACCAGGTCAGACTACCAAGTCATTGGTCCTGGAAAAGGACCCCAAGAAAACCCTACTACCCACTGTCTTGTTGGTCGGACTTTCGAGCCAGAAGTGACAGTAGGAGTACCTTAACAAATCCCTACACCCCATCACTGCCTTGTGGAGGGTACTTTAAACAAAAAACCCTCCTCAAGCAGCGCACCTCTGAGGTAACAATCCCTCTAGCATTTTGTCCACCGGTTCTCACCCACATTCCCTCACATCACATGATCCAATACGGTTAGTCCTACTGCCAATTGCTCCGTGTCTAAAATATCGCCCAGTGATTCAAACCAAAACAACCCCTTACTAAGCTTATAAGATCTGACACACATTGCAGACTTCATTGTCTGCGCTTTCTGTCGAATTGAGTGACGGGCATCTCTTCCGGAAAATTTGATTCCCCTTTCTGCGACACATGTCGTGTCGTCGAGCGCAAGAACTCACCCCAGCAACAAGCAGTCCTCTGCGCCCAGCACGTCCAGAGTCACCATTCCTCTACAACTATTAGTCACATGTCGCTTGAACTTTCTCGACGGGCAATAAAACCCCCACGGAACGAAATGCTAAGGCTCACAGATATTGGATACGCAGATATTTTTCTCCTTGGGTCAGATCCTTCAAAGATGCAATTGACTGCATAAATTGCGTCTATAGTTTTGCCGCTAAAAATAGTAAGTTCGAACCCAAGTATCACGCAGGCAGACCAGCCTGTCCACGTAGTAGACAAATCTATTTACATCAGTGTCGTATAGGTTCCGGCAGGCTGAATGGAGACGTGATCACTTCACGATTGGGGAATGTCAGGACAGGCTTTGCCGACAACTGCACCACTAGTTTGACTCACAAGGACAGAGTATACGTTGCGATGATGCACCCCATGCTAATTTAAAACCTAACATTTACGCGCAGAGATACGAATGCCTGCTTGACTACCGGTCTCACCAAACCATTGGTCGGGTCTGGTGGGAACATCGGATTAGGTAAGCCTGGTGGCTTTAAAAGGAACGATCCGGGATGAACCAGCTACTCACGCTGATTAAGACATGTACGTCACGTGCTAGAGGACACTCTACCTGGCACAGATGTCCTTCCTCAGCCCTGTACTGAGTGAAAACGATGAAGCGGTCGATAAACTCCTACCTGGCAATTCTTATACCGGGGTTGAAAGCTCCGCACGGCCAAGAATACACACTGAGTGGGTTTAATACGAGTGGCACTTGTGTCTGGTACTTTTCTTGATGTGAGCTAACTTCGCCGGGAGAGGGTGTGAACACCCGTAACCACCTGCGGCTAAAAAGAGCGCTGAAAGTTAGGAAACTTTCCAACTTGCTAGCCCATGCTCGACTATGTACACAAAGCATCACTTTCAATGCCGATTATTGCTGTCGGTCCTAAAACTCAACATCCTCTTTAATGAATCGCACGTACATTGCTGGACACAGTTCAATCAAAGCTATCAAATGTCAAGTGTCTGTTCAGGTATCTGGAAAAATTTCATTACACAGCGCTAGAGTCGCAAACTATTAAAAATTTTGATTTACATGATATCGGTAGCTAACCCATAAGAACTCGTAAAGTCGTTTGCTTCTACGGATTACACGAACGGGTGCAAAAGAACGCGTAGATTCAACGTTTTCTCATACCATGACTCGGCGTCACCGGCAACTTTCGAGAAAAGTACCAGAATAAAAATTCGTATCAGTGTTATAATCTCTTTAAATAATAGCAGTAATGATTATACTAGGGATGGTAACACATGTACAAGTGGTGTCCACAAAATGGGAGAGCAATAAAAAGCGAATTTGTGTACGCACAAGTTAGAAAAGAGCAGGCGTCGACTGTTCAGATGTGGGACTCCGAGGCCGCAAATTTGTCGGTTTTCATCAGCCTAGCCAAAGCGTGAATAGATTAGGGATGCACAGCTGAGAAACCGTCATTCTGTGTGGTAGTCAGAATCCACGGACAACTGCGGCGTCACATCTGCAAAAAGAGGATACATAATTAAGGGAGACATTTTGGATACGCATATAATAGAATCAATGGGTACCAAATAACTTGAACGTCGTTCACGATGAGAAGGCTAAAGATTTACTACCGAACCCAGAAGTAGCAAAAAGGTTCACCCCATACACCAAACAGGGATGAGTCATGCGTGCGGGAAAATCCAACCGACTGAAAGGACACTGGAACAGGAGTTACAACACACAACTAGAAAGTGTGCGTGAGTTGGTTCATCGGGAGACCTACATGCCCTGTTCAAGGGGCGGTGTTCGCAAAATCACTTTAGGTAATGATCATTACTGAAGGATCAAATGGGTGCAGTCACCAGCACAAACTTTACAACCACAGGGTAAACTTACCTTCTACCCTGACAGTGAGGAAAGGTCGGAATAAAGGACAGTTGACAAGTTCGGCCGCCGTGGGTCGATCTTGTGCCAAAGGACGTAAAAGGCCCTGCGGAGGAGAAAAAAACAAGGGTTTGGTCACCTATGTTCGGTTTGATTGAACAAATGCGAACGATGAGTAGACGGAATATGGAGCGGTGTGCATAACACCAAATACATATGGGATAAAAATACACATGCAACATAGCGGGTTGTCGAGTGTTTCTCTAATTTTCTCTCGTGGTATCGCCTTTTTCACAGACCCAAGACTTGCAGGTCAAAAGAGTCTAGAGTTATCACAGCAGCATCACTGCTAATTAGCTGTTACAATCATAGTTGGATTTTTATGGAAAACCAGTCTGACTGATTCCTTATATTTGAATCGGTCAAAAGAATTATACGAATTTTGGCAGATGTTGATCCAGTTGACAAACCGTCAGCGGTACGCCTATACTCGCTAATCATTCGGGCATAAAACAGAACTAATAAATGCACTGAGAAGTGGTGATTGTACGACACGAACGCATGTACACTGTCATTGTGTCAAGGTTCCAAAGGATCACCAAATAAATCAATACACTTTTACAGTTATTCATAAAACGAAGTTAACCGCAGAGTTGACAGGATGACTCACTTTAACGACAGACATTAAGGAATTGGGGAGGACGGATAGGTCTGGGAGGCAGTCTGTTTCTCGAAGCCGTTCCCATACTGAAGGCGACATTGGCCCACCAGCCTATTAATAGAAGTAGGAAATAAGTCATGAATACTACAAGAAAATATCCTGACCCATCGAAGGGTCTCCATATTGCCAGTGCTGGTGCGACCAAATGCGAACAGAGCTACCAAACGTTTTGAAGGACGAAGAACCAGGGTATCCGAATTCACACATGATTTTCGCAATTCATAGTAGGGCTCTCGGTTACTCACCAATCCCACTATCATTTTGCCCCTCCAGAGTGCTATTGTTTCCCATAGCCGAAAAGCGCAGATGAAATATCAATAGGTAAATTTGTTCTCATGGGTTGTAGTCCTGACAAAACAATCTATCAGTACTGGGAGTCAATAAATAGCTGAAGCAGCCTGAGGATCGAAATGTCGGTATCCGAAAACTTGGATGTGACGAGGGTAAGCATAATGCTTGTGCCAACGGTAGACTCCCACAGAACAGATAACTGATGCATTCTTCATTATGTTGTCTTTCCTACGACGATTGAATTCTCTCGTGTAAATCAGGTATACCTTGTCGTGCTTCATGTGTCCTGTCATCCATCTAAGTAAATTGAAGCAACAAGACACCATTTATCCGTAAATTTAGGGCACTTTTCTTGTACCCACACCCGATCATCCACGCTGTGATTTCGACCACATGCGTGGAAATTGCGAATCACTGAGTGCACAAATGCATCGGCCGGGGGTCTCACAATTCCGAATCACAAGCTTATGGACATTTCGATGAACTGTTTGGGATCCGAAAAAACGGAAACCCATCTAAAAATTCATCAAGTCAGGCCTATTGAGACACTTCAAATGAAATGCCCGCTACCTTCATTGCGAAACGTCCACACGGCGACCAGGCTTCAAACACACGAAAGCCGTAGAAATAAGCTTCTACGTGTTTTTCATCAAGGCGCTGTACTAGATAATAAACTGACAATCCCGGTACCGAAAAACGTTCAAGGTTACATGAAAAACTGAAGATTCTTAAACTCTTCACTCTTATTAGATGCTGTATCGATACATTCGGTTCCCAGTTTGGCTACACTCACATTAAAGGCATCTAATGGTTCAGTAAAGTTTTGTCAAACCTCCAGTTCACTACAAAGCCACCCCTTTAGGAGCAGGTGTCACCATAATGATGCACTGAAGCAACAGTACTTTACGTTATCACTGCCAATGGGGATGTGGCTGAAATACAAAGTGTCGTGGAGATTTCTCGAAAGGCATAACCTGCGAAATCCGGCCTGAAAAGCAGCGCGATGATTAGCCTAGCTGGAAAAATCCCGAGTGACTTGAAATGCAGGGGTGAATGATATTACATGGCACATAATACACGTCTGAGAGATGTACACGAAAGCACAAAAATTAGGATGAAGTTTCGACAAATCCACTTATTTGCAAGTCAATTCGGTTTTCACGAGAGACTCGACTGAATGTCTCATTTATGATGTTCTCAATCGAATATGCTGCACACAGGACGCCTCATATTTCAGTTGGTACGATATTCGAGATATCGCAGTATATTTTCATAAACGATGAAGCTTGTTCGTGTGTGCAGATAACTAGCTGTTCCGAATAACCAACAAGGTGGACCCACTACGAAATGAATCAGACTATTGTTGTCAGTGAATCGGAGGATACTTATGGTAGGGGTGACTACAAGGGTGAAATAGTTGCGGAAAAATCAGGGATGAGTGAAGGACAGTTGCAGTGCTACCATTCAGTAGTCCGAAACCGATTGATTTACTTCTAGGAATTAGTTCAGCTCGGAGAGCGGAATGTACAACGGTTCACTTTGTGCAATACTCACCGCGTCATATAACGTGATTCCCAGGGCGTACATATCACGACCAGTGGCAGCTCTGGCTGGGGGGCTTGGATCATTCAGTCGGGGCAAGTAACGGCCATCACCTAGATCCTCCCCGTCCCTGTCTTCGCCAGCTCTGGATGCGCGGCCGAAATCTCCTAGCTTGAACAGGATTCCCGTAGTTTCACCTGCGTGTAACAACTGCGGGACAATGAAGATGGGGTGGTTATCATTATCAACTTTAAAGCAGTTAAATGTGACGAAAAAATAGGTGACGGCAACGTCAAATACTTGAATTAACGGCAAGCAGCTTTGGACGCAGAAAGACGCTGAACAGGTAAGACACGCGTGTCAACGATTTGGAACAACGAGCTTATACGTACGGTTGTCTGCTCACGTGCGAAGAGCGAACACCTTCAGCCTAAATAAGTACGTCATCCTCAACGAAACGACACCTTTTCTTAGACCAATGCTCAACATGAAGCTACAGCAGATAACGCTCTCAATGAAATAGGAATCTTCACAAGCCAGGTTCGCTTAGAGCCCAGAGACTGATTTTACCCGGTGACATGTGAGATACATCGTTGCAGGGAAAACACCATCACTCACAAAGTGACGGGCCCCGTTGTTAGTGTGTTGGAGTTTGTGTTGTTAGTCACTTTTTTACTAGAAGACTGACAACAGTGCGGTGTTTCGTTTTACTTCGTAAGTTAAGAGACAAACAACAAAGTCCCTTTGACAAACGAGCGACAGATTGTAGACACTACGTCACTGACCTAGCTACCTTAGTGAACGGCAACGCAGTGGACAAACGAAGAACAAAAAATGCCCTTGGGTGGATTCGAACATGTGACTTCCGGCTTATTGGACCAGTGCTGACGGCAGAGCCACGACGCACACATGCAGCGGAATTCCGTCACGATTCGTCACACCGTCTAGTGGGCTTACAACTGACGTGACTCGATAGTGCCTAAAGGAACAACTCTTACGGCGACACGAATCAGCACCCTTTGGGTACTTGAAGGCTGTTACTGGCAAACCTGTTGTGGGATTTACATGAGGGGAGCCCACTGAAAAAAGCGTTCAGCTGTAGCATCCTTCCGGTGCCTAGCTGCAATGCCACCCGAAGGAAGCACGAGGGCTGGGATACTACCAGGTTGCCCAAGCCTAGACAGGGGAAGTCGAGTGGCGGAGGTCGGATTCGAATCACAGACCTTCCGGTCAGTAAATTCGCGCTCTAACCACTTGGGCCATCTCGCCCCGGTGTAGCGGAGCCCACTGAGAGCGCTGCTAATCCAAAAAGTAGTGTGGCAAATCAATCTGGGGTCGAAGTGCACTTGCGCGAAATAAGCCAATGTCCGAGGTGGCACAGAGAGTAGATCACTCACTCACGTTCGAGTCGTGTTCAAAGGCACATGTCTCTTCATCCGAATATTCTACGCTCTGTTATCATTACAGTAATGCACTATTTGCAAGCTCACGATGTTTTTATGTCCAAACCAGTCAACATGGATGTTGGTGTACCAGTGACTGATTTCCGATACTGAAACGCACTAAAAGCTTGGGTATAGTTCAGTCCAATCAAACGGAATTAGTACCGGGGTGTCCGCGTCAAATGACAGTACTGTGATTCGCCGCCAAGATTCCATTGATTATCACTCCAACTTAGGGAATTTTTCTTGCTTTGCTCCAAGGACACAACTTGTATAACAGTTACCACAGCTGAGCTCAACAACACACATATGTCAATCAAGGAGTTCAGACGTGAGGTTACTCATAAAAGCGAATCGTCCACGACACAATCATCTTACTACATACTTCGATGCAGGTTATTGAATCTGGTCATGCACGAAAAGTTAATATCAGTTGAACGCCAAGCCAACTAGGTATTTGTAACACGCTCGCCTCAAACGCCGGAAATGAAACCCTAACATGGCCAAGGATGATGAGCAAAACTCGAGTCAGTGGTTCCCTGCCCTTGATGTGCTTACTGGAAAACTGCATCAGGACAGGAGCGGGGGTAATGTGAATCTCACAACCACCCAAAAGTAGGTTATAGGACGCGGTTGTTCAGCTTCATTTAGCTCTACAGCAAGAGTATAAAATTGCGGCTTAACAATCGTTACTTTCACGGAAGACGTGTATAGTTTGGGGTCACTTAGGAAAAAATCATTAGCCTGACTCCCAGAGAAGATGACGAAGACACTATCCAAGGGTTTGCCACCACCGCCTCAGCGATAACACAAACGTTTGGGACGGACATGGTCTTGGTCGAGTGAGCACAAAATTATCAAAGATAAACTGACTTCCGGCGTCACGAGTAAATCAAGAAGCTCGTCGACGAGTTAAAGTAGGAAGGAGAGCAAAAGAGTAGGAAGTATCCATTACACCCAACTGGAGAACCAAAGCAAATGAAACGTGGGGGGAAATCGCTGACCTTGTGACAATGGTGTTTGGCTTCCAACTCAATGAACTCTTTCGTCGAGGCCAGATAAGCCTCGGGTCGAGCCAGTTGGATGAGAATGTTGCTGGGTTTCACGTCCCCATGTACCATAGACCAATTGGTATGCATATAGTACAGCGCACCGAGCATGTGTGCTGCCAAAACAAGTAGGGCCTTTTCGGTCAACCCTGTCCTCCTTGCAGCGTCTGTGGACGAAGGAGAAGTGCTACAATCGTCTGGTTGCTGGTGCTGTTCACTAGCAGCATCCTTCGATGTCGCGTTTCCGTTTACTAACTCCATAGGGGAGAATGTCCGAGGGATAGCTTCGGATGTATCCAGCTGGCGGTCCGGATGAAGAAAGTGAAACAGACTTCCACCCAAACAAAATTCGAGCTGAGTGTAGATCGAGTCGGCTTCATGCCACGAACCATAGAAGCGGATAATATTCGGGTGTTGGAGAAGGGCCAGTGCTTGAACTTCATTGAGCATCTCACCAGATGAGCTGTGGACAAATCAGAATAGATCTATGGCTTGAGAACGATGAGCATGCTCAAAATATCTAGCTCTTGAAGTAACCAAGGTGTAGGTGAACACAGGAGTGGCATTAAAATGTGTAGAAAAAGCAGACATTCACCAGGATGGTTGTTCGACGGTTGGTATAAAATTATTCGGGTAGGAGCTTTGAGTTCAGGAAATGATCCGCAGCCTAGCGATGTGAAAATTGTTCAAAAAATTGAATTCCTAACGAAACTCTGGACAAGGCTTTTGGTGTGCTTTGGTGATTTAACAGTGGGAGACGCGATTTTTCCGAAGGAAGCGACTCGTCAATGAGAGTTGGACAGTCTGCCCAGGAAAATTGTGAGGCAAATCTTAGTCTACAGCACTTTTGTCTCTACAAGAGATTGTCACCGTCGAAATGCTCTTTGTAATTGGTCTCGATTTCTCTGTAAAACAGCTGACCTAAATACCACTGACGTTACATGTCCAGTAGGTTCTCGTCGATCCGACCAGATGGTTCGCATGGTGTATTCACAAGTACTGAAGACACTGAGCCGGGGGTGTGACAGCGCACTATACATCAAGTACACTCGCTTTTGGCCATGTACAGGCAGCCTCCTAAAAGTCCGGTTGTCTGCATTCAAGTGATTCCAAAGCACTGGAAACTCCCTGGGACACTTTTGTTTATCTATTAGACTCTTCAATTAGATTGGATTTACGGTCAATGACGATACCAAAGTCTCTTCCGAGTACCTCAAGTCAGTAGATTGAAAGGCCAGCACAAGTTGTGTGTGGAACGATGGTGATATTGAGATAGAGGAACGAAATACACCTCCAATTTCCGCTATTGTTTAATATTTTCATGGTTTGATCAGGAACACAGTGACGAAGATTAATGTTTTCGGTATTTCGTCATCAACTCAGTACACATCTAATGGTTTAAATTGGAGTGAAAAATGAAATCAAAAATATGGAGCCACGATCGATTAGTTGCCTGCGTCACCACGTCGCATCTGATTGGATGATGTGAGTCTAGAGGGCCGTTGAATAACTTGGTAGGTTGATTTGTGTCATATGACCAAGGCAGACTCAGCGTTTTTGACAGCGCATTAAAAGGCTTCGCAGACGTATGAAGATTGCCTCGGCTGTAGTCAAGCACCGCCATTAGATTAACACTGACGGTCCATTGGGTACACGGTAAGCGACATGGAACGACTCATTCGGGTTGACTACGTGCCCGGTATCAATAAGGTGGGACGCTACTGAGCTTTGGGCTGAACTGTTGAGTATGTTTTTCTGGAAAGAGATATGCTTCATCATCGACAGCATGACATCAGTGTTCAACACCGATGCTTCACTGCCGTACAACCATGACTTATTTGAAAGCCTTATTGTAAAGAAAAGAATAAAGGTGGATGGGGGAGGGACTTAGTGCTAGCTTAACACAATCATTCCGAGGTGCCTACACCTCCAGACATTCACTCAGGCAATCTGGACAGAAACTGACAACAAGAACGCCACTGACATCGGTTGGCAGCCATATCTTGTAGTGTCTCCAACCAGGCACAGTGAGGATCACGCGGTCCCCATCCTGGAAGGCGAGTAGCACCGACAGCACCCAAGCGTTTCGTGATCTCCTTCATACTCCTCTGCCAAGTCAAGGGTTGGCCACCTCTCTGTTTACGCCACTCTGAATTGGGCATGGAAAACAGCACTCTCTTCGGCAAACGATGGTTCGGCATACGTAACACATGTCCCAACCAACGCAGCTTCTGGTGCTGGACACATTATTCTATGGAAGTACCCGTTACACAACCGAAAACGTGCTTTCTAACTGCCTCATTACGGATTCGCCGACACCAACCCACACGAGGTATGGTTCTGAGACAACGAGTGTCGAACACCTGAAAACGTCTCAGTTCCGCTGCTCGAATAGGCCAAGTCTCACAGCAATACAACAAGACAGCCCGTACTGTAGCTTGATACACACGTCCCTTCAGATTCAGGGATAAACCATTCTGACGCCATAAATGTCTCAAGTTAGCAAACGCCCCCGAGCCTTGCAGATATGCTTACGTATTATTTTAGAAGGTTGCTATGTCGTGCGCTGAACAACAGGAGAAAGAATACACAACCGTAATATGAGTGAGGACTGGCGTCTTGACTCTAAGATTTAAGTTGAGCAAGGGGTTGAATATAGACTCAGACCAGAGTTCCAGCCGGAAGCGTGCGTTGTGGGGATTGAAACAGGCGGCAGTTGACTATGTTCGCCAACAGATCGCCTTTATACGGTAAACTCGAGTATACTGGCTTCCTTCCAACGGTCGTAATAGGTGGTTGGATAGGAGGATCAGTTATATCCTTGGTTATAAATCTTTCTGGGTAATCATTGACTCGGAGTGTGTTAGCAATGTGCTGCAGTTCAGAGTTCATTGTATCAGCACAGCAAATACGCCTAGGTCGATTCGTCAGTGTGAATCAGGGTTCGTTCCCGCTTTAGTGTTACGAAGCTAAGGAAGTTCGTGTACTATATCGTCCAATTGGGCCTTCTGTAAACAGACCTCTGAACTAAATCCGTGGAAAGTCCAACTTAACGTCCAAGGAGTGGAAAGCGCTGTCACTATCAGTTTCATAAGTGAACTGAATAGAGGGAAGTACTCGGTTGAAGCTGGTCAGGAGGGCATCCATTTCGGAACCGTTTGAAACTGGCATAATATCATCTACGTATCTTCGATAAAAGTACGTACTCAATCGACCGACTAGGTGTACCTGTTGTGATAGAATGGTGTTGAGGCAAAAACTGGAAACAGCTGGCCCGTGGTTTGAGTTCGGCCGTGACACCTGGATGACTTGCCACTGTTTCAAACATCATACTTCTCCGGTCTGAAATGACGTCACAACTGTATCAGTGACTGACCTGACCGCAACCCATGTATTGGTTGTGTAACTGAAACCATTGCTCACTGAGGCGAAATCGATATGGAGCAACTTGGTCACTAAGCGGTTCAGGGAAGCTGTAACTGATTGCGATTATTGCATGCCCAGCGGCGGACTGTCACAATCGGAAACATGGTTGAAGCTTACCCAACTTAATTCAAGAAGTAGTTTCTTAGATGTAAAACGAAACTTTCCTTTCATTTAACGTGGTAGCAGGATGAGTTGTCAACGTCAGTAGAAATTAAAACTAGTCAACTAAACTACTCGTCAAAAATCCATATGCCGCGATCAATAAGGTGTATCCACACTTGAACCGATACCTGACAAAACTCTCTTGATGACTGAAGTGACACTTAACACAATGATATGGAAATGTTACGTCTTCCAATATCATATTAGAAGACGCACCTCCGAGATGCAAAATTAAAAAACAATGGTTCCACAGTTCCACCTTATAAGCTCTACAAAATATGATTTCATGAAAACACTGATTGTCAGGATTGTGCCCGAAGGCGATAAGTTAATAATCTGCCCCCAGACTGTCCCAAAATTACCAGCACCAAGTGGCATCGGAAAGTGAAAGCAAGTATAAATCAGATTCAGAAAACATAAACAAGTCTTCACTCACCCACCGAATGGTCTTTCAACTTCGAATTCACAACGGGATCGCTTTAAACAGTACAAGACTCCACTGAGACGATGCCTTGCTTTGTATAATACAGCCAAACGCGTACGGGAAATATCACTGATGTTGGAAAATGAACCTGCAAGACTGAACAAATCACAGGTCATCCTAGCCTGAAGGGAACTCACTTGTTACAGTTGAACACAGGATCGATAGTAATTGGGCGTTCTTCACCAGAAACCTCTCCAGGGACAAAAGGAGTCATGAAGCGGTTCATGGTCGGTCGATTCAGCAGATCAGGACAAACATCTGCTAGTTTGGCATAACGTTCCACTGTTGATGCAGTCTGTTGACTGATGCTGAGATAGGAATGCATGTGAAAATCGTCCACAAGGGACAATCTTCGACGTTGGTCTGAGACAGAATCGGTCACATTATTTGTATCAGGTGAGAACAACAAGCGGGGACTCATGGATAGGTTGGCTGACTGGCTTAGTCTGGTAGAGAGATGCAGAGCTCGTTGTTCCATTCGGCGAGCATAAGACAAGCTATGTTGCAGATGATCACTCAGGTAGCCCCGCCCAATGGATCGGTCGGATAAATCTACTCCAAACGTATGACCATCTGGAGATGGAGTCCCGTGACTCCCGTTCGTATGCAGACTGTCTTGAAAACCACTGCCCCTACTGGGGTGATTTGTATCCACCTCGAGTGCGGAAAATGGTGCAGAGAACAGCTTCTGTTTGGATAATAAAGGGGAAATTTGGAAGCCTGAGTGGTCCGTGTCCGTGTCTGAGTCCTGGAAGGGGGAGAGTTCAACCCCGTGACGAGCATAGGCTGGTGTGGATGACGAAGGAGATTGCGCAGACAGAGAGCGTTTGCTTCTTTTCATATCTGATAAGCTGGAACGCAGGCAATGAAGATGTTGATAAAATGCTTAAGAGAGTGTCAGGCGTGTGGAGTCGCTTGCCGCTCCCATTTAGTTGAACAAAGTGACTTGACGACGATTGAGTCAAGGATAAGAAAATAAAAAGGTAGCATGAAAATGGTTTAACGAAAAACAAGGCATCATCAAAACCGCTGATACGAAGTCACCATAACGATGCTTTCCTACTCATCGCTTCGGTGAGATCTGAGGCAGCATCACGCTTCAAAATGGACAGAGTAAAAACAGACCTTTGAGGTACAGCTTGTCAGGTATACTAAGATCGTTGACAGCGCGTTTGTGCACAAATGTGCCCTGGGCGAACCACGGACTTCTGTGGGCGAATCGGAGGAGTGGATCAACACCACAAACAAACAAGAGGGACTCGAACCAATGCACACCTGCTCCCGAGACCCAGTATTATTACCATCGCGAGTAGAAGCCCGATTCACTACTCAGTAGTGGAGTACTCACACTCCGAAATCGGATGATACTGAGCTGCGTTTTCTGGAAAATCGTTCAGCTGTAGAATCCCTCCGGTGCCTAACTGCCAGGCCACCCGAAGGTTGCACGAGGGCTGGGATACTGTCAGGCTTCCCAAGCATAGACAGAGGAAGTCGAGAGGCAGGGATCAGGTTCGAAACACGAACCTACCGGTCGGTAAATTCTCGCTCTAACCATTTGGGCCATCTCGCCGTTTGCCTTTCTAAGAACCGAAGGGCCACATTAGGAGACTCCCGGGACATCAGCATCAGTATTAACACGATTACCACAAGAAAGCCAAGTCTTGCAGTGGTACCGGACTCCAATCATAAGAGAGAGGTTTACGTACGCTACCCAAAAAACTGGACCGATGAACGTAAGACAAGATAAATGGTGGTTGCACCAAAGTGGCCACCCTGAGAAGTCTTCTATCTGGTCGCGCTCCAACCACTGACCCATCTCGCGCGGTATAAGGCGAGATGGGGAAAGTACATCTGGTTCGTAGTATATGGTACTCTGCTCATCCAGTCAAAACCACCCGGACCCGGAGAGTGGCTTACAGATAGACCACCAGTGTCAACAGTTTCGTGGCTAACCAGTTCAAATTCATTGATGACCTACTAGTCAGACACCAAAACAATGGTATGAGCTGAGTTCCGTTTTTCAACAAGGAAAGGTATGGTTGGGTTCGAGTTGTAAGTATTAGAGTGATAATAATTTAAGAGTAGGGGGTGAATAATACTCCACAAAGTAGATAAGTGTTGGGTAGATGAGGATTGAGTGCTGAGGGTCAGTGGGAGGATGCAACGGCACCGAGAGTCGGCCTTGCAATGTCAACGAGAATGTTAGTAATCTTTAAAGACAGCAAGGGACAACATGACTAAACTAAGATTTTCGTGAGTTGCTGTCCCCGTGGAATAAGTCCCACCTGAGTGAGATGCGGCAATCCATTTCAACATGAAGCACATGACCGAGCAAAAATACCTGGTTCAACTACGTTCGTTCAGCAACTGAACAATCGCTTGATCAATGCGGACACCTACGGCCAAAAGTAATCGATCACCCCTTCGACACCCACTAAACCCTGCTTGACGACTCGTTGTGTTGCGGAACTAGACCCTACACGACGTTAATGTAACATCGCTGTCAGAGGTATNGTTAATGTAAATCCCCGGCAAAAGTATCTTAATGGCATTCAGTGTGCGATCCACTTAGTCATGGGAACCGAAACAGGCAGAATCTTCAGCTGAGGCTTAAAACAATACCCGCACTTTTGGTATCGTGAGATCATAATTACAAAGAAGTGCTTTTCTCCCACCTTCCTTTCAGGAACACTCCGTCCTTGGAACTCTGCCACTATGCCTTTTCTAACTCATAACCAACTATTCAAATATTGGACAACATCCACCTCTACCTCGAGGCTTGTATTGCAGGAGCACTCCAGTAAAGGGTGTCCCCTAGCCCTGTAACCCATGCAAAAACCGAAGTCCATTAGGTTGGGACGATTGTGAAATATACCATTAATTCCTAATATTAATCTGTCATAGCAAGCACCTTTATCCCGAAAACTTTCTGGCGAAAGGCCAATGAGGAACGGAGCACTCAGAAATACCAAACGAAGGCTTTTAGTCCAGAACTGAGTGTTGAGAAGTCCTCCGTTTGTAGCTGTAGTTATAGGACTCTACAGGGTCGTTACGTTTCTTAATCGAGCTATCCATCTCAAACTTTGCTGTCGTTGTATGTTGAGCTTAAGTAGCGTGAAGCCCTCAAAGGACGATGGGCGGTCTCGGTGACCGCACCTTACATCAAGATGATGTTCATATCCCGAAGTGACCTTCGTGGTGGTGCAAGAGTAAGTGCCGCCAACACTCGCCGAGGCAGAAAATGGGAACGTCGTTGAGGTATCCGATGTCGTGGTGAAACCACAAGAAACCATTTCCCAACTGTACCTTGTTATTCGAAAGTGGTGGGTTAGGATACTCAGCAATCGGCCATCAGTGTGCCAAACCTGGACGCGAAGGCTTCAAGTTTTATACACGAAAATGAAGCAATCCCAATTTTTGGAATCAGCTATGTTAAGACCCAAAGCACGCAGAAAACTAATTGAGTTTCGGTTCAACACTGAACAATGCAGAAGCGAGCAACAAAACCGCGCGCTCAATAGCATTTGAAGGATAGGAGGGAAAGAAATAATTGACCCCGGAAAGAACAACCCTCAAAATAACCCATTAGCAGGATTCGCATTGCAACCTGAGAATAAGCTTCACAGCTCAACGGTGTGTAGGGTAGTACAAGCACTGGCACACAGCCTTTCTCACTGGGCTACGGGTTCTGTCTTCTATTCAACTAGATTTCTACGAAACCCTAACTTCGGAGAACGGTTGTAGACTTGCGCTTCCGTGTCGTGCATAACACGTCGTGGGACTTTTATTCATTCCAAAAAATAAACCCCATTCGGTTACAGAATCCGATGCACGTAATTGGTTCACTCACTTCTGCTGTCCTCACTTATGGAAGCTTCAAAAGTATACTGACCCAGGTACGCCCATATGCCAAACCGGCCGCCGAAATTCAAACCGCGATATATCCAAATGTCGCGCCACGAACGGTTTAATTGATCCAGGAATATATTTAAAGCACCTTGTCTACCAAGATGTTGGGTAAGTGCACAATAAGGGTCGAAGGATGAATAACTGTACAAAGTGTCACTGTAGTCGTTGCAAAGCAGAGTTCGGAGGTTTTCTGCCTTGGTGAAGAAGGAAAGTTATCAAAGTTTCACGGATTCACGCATTCATGGACTGATACACAGGATCGAACACTGTCTACCGAGACGAGTATTATTATTATTGGCGCAAACCGCAACGTGCACAGCACATGACATGGCACAAAAGCGTCAAAGAGATCACGAAGAGTTTGGGTGTTGTTGGTGTTGTGCGACTTCCAGGATGGGGTCCGGGTGACGCTGTCTGTGCTTGGCTGGAGATTCACGGATTCACGGATTGATACACAGGATCGAGGCTTTTAGCCAAGTTTCCCTGGTCGGTTTTGTTCTTGTCGGTAAGTGGCTGTCGATCACCGAAGGGCACAAGTGAAAAAAGGGTGTAGCACTGCTGTTTATGTTCTCAGTGGGGGGTTCGCATAAATAAATGTCTTGTTGGGCTTTGAACTGGGTTCTAGATGGAGCATGGACAACCGTCGGAGGAAGGTCCTTCCACGCAGCGCCCGAAATGGGGAAAAATTTTGTCTCATGAATTTGTGCGTCCTGAGCTTGGAAAACTTCTTACTATATCCCCGCCGTGTGTTACCTGGGTCAACGTTGAAAACCCTGTTTACCACGCTTTGTTTAAACAGGGTGAGAATTGTCTCCTCGGAGGCGACGGTACGCTAGATCAAGCGTCACGAGACGCTTTTCGTAGTCCAAGGATTTGAGACCGGCAGCCATTCTCGTAGCGGCTCGCTGGACACGCTCATTGAGGGTGGCGTCTTTCATGCGTTCTGAGTAGACAACTTGGTTGGGGTACTCCAAGAACGGTCTGACGTAAGCCCCATAGAGTATTTGGAAGTCCATCCGAGTGGTACGGGAGAAGGTTCGTCGGATCATCCGTAAAATGGCGGATGCTTTTTGGGCCGATTTCTCATGGTGCAGTGAGAAGGACAATTTTGAGTGGAGACCCAGATGCTCAAACCCTTTTAGGCATCTATCCTCATGATGTTTTCTGGTCCTTTCTCACCACGCATAACAAAGGCATTCGCTGAGTCTTCTCCAAATGATGTATGGACGCACTTTTCGTCATTTGGGGAAGAGGCCAGTCCAACGACCTCGGCTTTGCAGCGTCTACATCCATTTGGATGGCACTGCCATTTGAATTCCAGGATTTCAAGTCGTCCGCAAAAAGTATGCATGGGCATGCAAAAAGATCTGGAAGGTCGTTGCCGTAGACAAAAAATCAGCAATTGTCCCAGGACGGGGTCTTGCGGAACTCCAATAGAGACCGGCGTGAAGCGGAGTCGGTCGAGTCCACTTTCACTGGGAATGTTCTGTATGATAGGAGCGCCTTAAGCCAGGGTAATAGTTCTCTTGTAATCCCGTAAGACTCGAGTTTGTAGAGCAGCGGGACATGTGGGACCCTGTAAAATGCCTTTGAGTTTCATAATGCTTTTATCTGCTGAACCTCTGTTTTACGGCAAAATGTTGCGTTTCGTTGCATGTGTGCCTAAACTAAAAATCATTCAAATCAAAAGCTATTTTGCAGTTTGCTTTAATTATTCTCCCNTGCTGAACCTCTGTGGTTGGCATAAAACGTTTTACGGCAAAATGTTGCGTTTCGTTGCATGTGTGCCTAAACTAAAAATCATTCAAATCAAAAGCTATTTTGCAGTTTGCTTTAATTATTCTCCCCCTTTAAACATGCTGTGCTACGGCCCATCATATCACATCCTTACTTTATCCCCTTTTGTAGGCTTTCAAAATACATTTGGTGCTCACCTTTCCATTGAGGAAGCCGAGTATCTTTTCGCGCCACAGCTTACACTGGGCATTTTCTGAAATGAGCCCAAGGCACTTCCTATTTGCACTCCCAAACTAACTTTCCTAGTACTTGTTCCCGGCCCGTGCGTGCACCAGCCTAAGCTCCCCGTCGTTAATATGCAAGTGATATAACTACCCCTCCAAGTGTTCTTGTCCATAAATCACCATTTTATTGATCTCTTATGTAGACCTTCACTTCTTGCCACTGCATCTGCACCTACCCTCCAAAGCGTAGCTGTGTTGCAGTGTCTAGCACCTGTATCGTAATTGTTTCATGCCATTTTCACTGACCTCGTTATATTTACCATCTTCAGTCTTAAGCTCTCTGGCCTAGCCATCCGGGGAGGCTTGGTCTCATCCTTGAACAACTCTGTCAGCTCTGTACAGTATCTGGTGTACTTCTTTGACTAGATTCAACTAATTTTAACCAAAATGATATCTTATTTCTTCGCCGTTGAGAGCCATTCCGCATCCTCTGATCACGCGCAGTGCACGCACATGAGATATTGCGTCTGAAGGTGAGCAACTAATGAAATACTCGTTTGGTTCCATTACCCAATCATTCACACGCGCATGTGATATTGTGGGGCGCCTCTACTTGACACGCTGGTTCACCATAATGTTGTGTCGTCAGTTAGCCGCAATACGCAGTCTCTGAACATCACTCTGCTTCCGTGGCCCGAAATTTGCTGTCATTTCATGTGCCTCCGCGGCTGGCCTCTACCAGTGGCTGTTTGTTGCTTGCTTGCTCAAAATGACCGAGTTGTTTTATTAGCTTAGCCTTCCCCTCGGCCGGGTAAATTATCTGGCGGCTGGAGTTATGTGTTATTACACAGACCGCAATAGTGACCGCTTGTCACCCTGCAGACCTGGTAGCATGCACGACGGAGGAAGCCCTCATATGGCGGATGGGTACGTCCTGCAGGGAAGTTCATCCTGTTGCGTTGCACCTTGGTGGGTTCGTATACTCGCCGTTCCTCCAGTAGCATGGGTGCACCGCCCGTTGTCCGTGGCTCTGAGCGCGGCATGTAATTCAGGAAATCCATAAGAGGGTACCGTTGTTGTTTGTCTATAGCTGGCTTACACCAGTCCTGGTTATCACTTATCTGGCAACACCGAAGAATACAAGCGAATGACAACTGTACTTTCGTTTGATTTAAAAAATATGCATGGGGTAACATAGGGTGCACTCTAGTGCTCATGGATACCATAGACGGGTAAGGCGTTACCACTTTCATCTTAGATGGGTTTCACCACCCTTACTCCATTTAAATATCCAAACGTAACATGCACATTCGTCCATCTTTATTTCTGAAGCGATCACGCACGTATAAAATATAAATTCTCCTTTACTTGCATATTACCGACAGCCATACCTAGCGCTAGTTTTGCCGTGAACTATTCGTTTATCACACCTGAGCGCAATGACTCAGTGTTCCGGACCCATACAACTCCCTGTTTGTTTAATGTATCAAATTCCGGTCAAACCACTGTACTAATCCATTAACCCGGAACCGATTACCCAAACGCGTTATTTGTCTACCACCCCTGTTCGCAGTAACCCTATTTGCACAACGGAGACAACATAATTGGAGTCTTTGTCCGAGCCCAAACTACCGCCATGTAATCCCACCCTGTATGCGCCCGTTCTAACTAGTCCAACGGATGGCCTCCCTGCTCCTCACCTCGGAAATTAAGTCGTTATCATTCCAAAGCACACACACACACGCCTCGCGTCTTCTGGCCGGGTGACTCTCAGTTAATAAACGAGACCCAACTCTTACTAGCGATGATGCATCGCTATCTGGAGGTACTGTATAAATGCCGAGCAGAAGCCCACTAAGAATGATGTTTTATGTCCTCAGAATGCCTCGTCAACATCCACTAGCCCTTGGTTGCTAGGTCAGCCGAAAAACATCCACGTTTTTGTGGATTCATTCGGCTTTCTGTCATTCCCTTTTAGTATTCTATTCGAAACGGTTTCATCTCTCAGAATGGTACCGCTCTCGTTCTGTTCACTTTCCTTCCTCATTCTCCCCTTTTCTTAAGCTCCAAGCTTCGGCTATAGTTGCACCAACCACCCCGTAAAACCGACATTCATTCCATCCGGCTGGTTCCCTGTCTACACCCGCGTAGTCCTCCACCTGAATCAAAAGTACCCGTGACTGCACACTGGCGCGGTTATACCTGTGTCAATCTCCTCTTCCAATCCAGATCCAGCTGCCACAGGAATGCGTATCCCCTCTCCTATTGCGAGAACCTTGAGGACTGTTGCGCGGCTGTTCACAAACCGAGGTATGTCAGCACAACTATGGCATTGCACTACCATATCCAGTCTGATGGCACATCCGCGATTATTCTCTTCCTTCCCTCGACTGTCACCTGTCGCCCACTCGAGCTTGTATTTGCAGCTACGAACATATTTTCACCCAGCCCAAACCGCCTCTTGGACGAATTTATTCTAACCCTCTGAAAAATTCGTTCGAATTTAACCTAATTGTGTAACAAAAGATACTACTGATGCTACTCGTACCTCATGTCCAGTGTCCTCAATTATTTGGCTCCCAAAACTACGGTGACGTTTCACATAACAAGCATGCCTCGTTGATTGTACCTCCCTTCCCGTTGTGTTGTTGTCTGTTGCGTGCATGTTGTAACAATCTGATCATGCATCAGTTGGTATGCTCCCTACAAGTTAGAGACCCTCACTGAGCACGTCCAGTTGGTCACCTGGGATGTTTAACTTAAAATCCGGTAATTATGAGATGCGTCTTTGGATGCGTGGACTCCCTCGCTTCACATAGGACGTTAAACCTATGCTCCGTTTGGACAAGGTTTGGTCAACAGGCTTTGGCGGTTGACCCAACAAATACACGGCTGAGACGTGCTAAGTTATTTTTCAAGCTAAAAGCACATGCCTTTATCAGATACCAATTTTCCTCATTTCAGTTTGTTGTTGCTTGAAACAACCTTACCCTAAAGATTTTTTGCGCCTCATCTAGGGCTTGTAAAATGTTCTTTTACATCCTTTTTTATGTGAGGCCTTGCGCCCGCAAACTAACCGACCGGCGTTGAGATATTACAGAACGGCGCTGCACATTTTCCTGCTTGTCCCTCTTGGGGGAACGGAAGCCGCTGAACGACGATACCAAACCCGACCCAGGAAACAGTCGAGAGACTCGATTCTGTGCATCGATCCGTGATTCTGTTTAATGTGCGCTTGCCAGTGAACTTTCGAAGGCTTCTGAAATCACGCCGACTCCACCGGTTGCGACACCAGATTATGGCTTCTACTCAAGCACTTCAGACTCCTCTGCCACCAAAGGCAGCACTGTTCGGGAGGAGGCAAGTCTTTGCGTGGACGCAGCATCCAATGTACACGGAGCTGGCATCGTTCATTTTCTCAGGAGACGATAAAGACGCCTCACGTCGAGGTCACAACTCCTGAGCTGCATTTGTTCAGATGCGTGGAGATAAGTGGCGAGGCCTACCCAAAAATCAACCACAAGCGTTGATCTCAGTATTGGAGAATGCCGAGTGAACCCTACAGCCAATGGGAATGTGGAACTGTTAGTCTCCAGCTTATCACATCAAACATGGCCTCTACAATTGTGGACACAGCCGTCGCCAAAGACCCCGACAGCCGAATCCACGGGCACGGAAGTAGTGAACAGGAAAATCCTTCGATTGAACATTTGTTCACGCTGATCTCGGGTGACTCAGAGTCTACACAAAAACCAAAGAAAAGCGACCGCAGTCAAACCACATAAACTTAGCCTAATAGGAGAGCTGTTGGCTGACTTCAAGATGCAGTCTTCTGCGAAAGCGCGTCCCATGGGAGTGCCACCAAAAGAAATGTTTTTTGTGCGGCTACCCAGTGCACAGGACCCTACAGAGACACCTTGTCGATCAAACTGCACCAAAATGCCTCGGAAACCGGACAGACGAATATTTCCTCTAAATTCTTGAACAACAGCAAATCTAGTGATTTAAAAGTTGACACTGAACGGATAGAGGCAGCGATGTCGAAATTTTCGCTCATTACGGATAGAATGGCCCCGAAAGTAAAAGGCCCGTGCAAACCGGACTCTCACGGGGCGAATATATCTGCAAATGAAAAACAGCCCTCGAAACTGCCGGGTCAGGAAGCAGAAAATTATGCCACAGAGGGCCTATTCTGTGCCCTGGACGCACGGCTATTAGATCTGCTAGGATCTCTGGCAACAGACCCCTCAGCGTCCTACCTTCGGAGGCAGCGGAATCAGTGTTGAAATGCTTGTCCACGAACTGTCTTAGTCTTTTCATCAAACTTCGTGCTATTTAACACACGGTTTGCCTAGAACAGTCGCCTATGATCGCCCCCACAGACACCCGGTTCACACCAGATGTCTCTGAAGTGGAAACCTCGATGGATAGGCATTCTGTTTTTCTAGCTGATTCAAACCGCGGGAGGGAGAGCGGGGTCGATTTATGTTTAAATGCGACCCTGCACATGCTGGTCGTCTTCAATCAATTGGAAAAAAGTCAGGAAGAGTAGCCATCACTTGGATTCCACTTGACCTCAACCCCCCTCAAACTAAATTGTCGGAACACTCACAACCCCACAAAGACTAAGGAAAATCTAACAGCGGCACCCGAGGCGAATCATCAGGTGAAGCATTATGAAGTGGAAGATTAAGCAACGGAAAGCGATCGGAACACAGGAGGGACGGGCACGAGATAACGATATGGGTCGTGAACGTCGTCTATGCCTATTGATCTCTAACCGTTGCAGGCGATCGGTCAGAGCATCAAACTTGGCTTGTAGGTGCGATGTTCCTTTCCAAGAACACTCCTGCGACTGTTTGAGATGCACTGTGAGTCCAAATCCCGCTGCTTGGGAGTGATTCTCTTCTTCTCGGCGTGGTCTACCATCGCCCCTCAATTCTCATTGAAGTCGGGCAATTCTTGATAAAAACCTCGAGCAACCCTCTTCCAGGTACCACTTCACTCATACCTTGCTGTTAGGTGTTTTTACGCTCCCAAGGCTTCCTGGATGGAGCTTCAGTGGCTCGGATATAGCAGATATCTTGGAGCGACGCTGACCAACTTCGTCAAACAGAGCATATGAACTCAAAATACCGTAGCAACCACCAGACACAACGAAGGTCAACCACCAGCCCTCCTGGGTTCGGTCGCCACCGAATCGATCAGGTGTTTATTGACGACACACCAGGACATAGTGACCACTGTGGGCTGATCGTTGATTTCATCTGCTACTGGACCAGAAATCCCGAACTGAAAACATGCACTCGCAACTTTTGCTGTGCAGACTTCTTAGTAGCGCACATCCTCCTTGATCAATCGTAACTTCAGCGGAATAGATATACAAGACCATTTTCCAAATAGTTCATGAGGCTGGCACGATGTTCACCCAAAATAGCACTCAATCGGACTGACCGCAAGTTACCTTGAAGTAACAGGCGTTTTGTTATTCGGGAGGTTGACAAAACGGAGACAGAAGATGAATGATATTTAGTAAAACGCAGAACAGCTGCAAATCGAAAAACGCCAATCGAACATACAAAAACAAGCCACTATACTAGATTCCGCCCGAAAAATACAGGAATGTGATTTTAGGTACATGGGGCATCGCCGCATGAATAAGCCAAACGTGCTCTCCTTGAGGGACAGGAACAAGGAACCCACGAGTGAGCCAACCGTATTACCAGAATTCTACAGAGAGAATTTTGCAGGCCTGTATTCTATCTTAGAGACCTTGTCATATCTAATCTTGTCAGGGCGTAACTACGAACGGCTTCTAAACAACTTGGTCTTCACAGAGAGGGAGATTCGTAAACTCCTGTACAAAACAAACCACAAAACAAACCACCGCGTTGAGGTCACGCGAAGTCCATTCAGGTTTCCTGAAGGAAATGTCGTTTACACTGGCAAACCCCACAGGCCTTAAGTTTTTTCACCGTTGGCCTAGCTACCACACGGCGGGGTCATTTTAAGTGGATTTTCAAGCTCAAAGCAAACACTTTCGTTGCGTGAAACTTTTGATCATTTTGGGCAGTTGCTGCACCATTTCCACCTGGTATTTCGTTAGTCAATCCACGCAGGCCACCTTCAATCTTGCTTTGAGAGAAGCGATTGTTACACTAATCTACGAAACTGGTTACCTCCCATTGTCCGGGAGCTACAGGCCCAGTAGCCTCACTGGTGTACCGTGCAAGGTGATGTAACGTAATCTGAGTCGGGCCATCTTGGATCACCTTACCACCAACAGGTTGAAATCTGCAGTTCAACGGGGATCGCCCCCAAACCGTTCTTGCTTGACGAACATACTTGTATTCATGGACGGCCTAAACCAAGTCAAGGATGGAGGATTCGTATCGGATGCTCTCTTGAAACATGCACCTCTCACTGCACCGTGAGAAATCTGCCCGAAGGGTATTCACCGTTCCACGGATGATCGGCGCACCTTCTATAGTAGTAATCGGATGGACATCCAAATACTCAATGAGACAAACGCCAGACCGCTTCTTGAATGGTCCGGGAACCACGAAGGACGTGACCCCCATTGAGCGTGTCCGGCGAGCTGCTAAGAAAATGGTTGCTGGCCTCAAATCCTGGGACCATGGAGCGCACCTCGTGGTGCTTAACATCTTCCAATTGAAATATCTTCGCCTCCAAGAAGAACTAATTCTTGGTTATATCCTGTTTGAACAAGGTTTGGCTTGTAGCGGTCTGGCTACCCAATAAGTTAACATCTTCCAAATATCTTCGCCTCCAAGAAGAACTAATTCTTGGTTATATCCTGTTTGAACAAGGTTTGGCTTGTAGCGGTCTGGCTACCCTACCCAATAGTTTACCAGGAGTGTGTGGCAAAGAAATGAAAATGATGACGCTAGGTTGGGCATACAAAAATAAGGAGATCAGTTGGAGCAGACTTACTAACAATTGTTCTCTTTAAAATAGTTCGTCGTTAGCCCAGGTCGGCGAATAAACAATAATCCAGTCATGTTGGTCCAGAGGTCTTCTTCTGAACAGTTACCACATATAATAGATTCCGAAGATGTCTGAAATGTTTTGGTATCAGAGTTAGTACATGAGACTCGCGAGTGACCGCTGCAAGTGCGAGCGAAATCAGGAGAGAGTCGAAGCACGTGACCACGCTTGTATTATATGAAATTGTACAAGTGCGCGTTTTTGTAGTTTTTCGTATTTAAACAAAAAACGATTATGTAATTGATGAAATACGTAGTGTTATA